AGTGAAACAACAATGTATCTGAATGAATGAATCCATGTGCCCTTAGCTCAGGCATGCAGGCAGGAGGGTGTGCTTAAAGCAGAGCTCCAGTCAAAACTAAAACTGTAGCTGCTGACTTTTAACCACGTGCCGTTCGCCTGCTGTTTATAAAATGGCAGGACGGTGGCACTCCAGGGGGGGTTGCCGTTCATAAACGGCACCCGCCATTTCTAGCTGTGCGTGCTCCCTGGGAGTGCGCAGCACCACGATCCAGTGCCCGCTGTGTCCTCCGGACACAGTGAAACACCGATCGACGGACGGGACCTCTGTACGAGGTCCCGATCATGTGATCACTGATTGGCCAATCAGCGATCACATGCAAAGTAGTAAGCAAGATGTCACTTGTGACATCATTGCTTACTACTTGTGAAATCTGTGAATGATCACAGAGGTCACATGGTACAAGGCTATTCACAACAGCCATGTACCATGTGACAAGATGTGACCAATCACAGCTCACTCAGTAGTTCTCAATGGCTGCAAGAATGTAGACAGAGAGAAAGAGAAATGATTGCTTTTACATCCTGTATGGGTGTAAAAGCAATCACTGTAAAAAAAAAAAAAAAAAATCTCCATCACCCCCCACAAGTAGTACAGTGTCACCATGGTGACACTGTACTGCTAGGGTGACAGTATGTTAAAAAAAAAAAAACATAAATAATACTATAAAAAATTAAAATAAAAATGTAAAACAAATGTTTAAAAATTATAATTTTTGGTTATAAACTAATTTTACTAAAAAGATAACAGAATATATTTCGGCCAAGATTTATGATGAAAGATTATTTATTTGCAAAATTCTATAAGAAAAACACTTTTTTTCAAAATATTTGGACATTTTCATTTACATAGCAAAAAAATTAAAATCCCAGCGGTGAATAAATACCACCAAAATAAAGCTTTATCTGTCTCAAAAAAATGGTAAAAAATTCATATGGGTACAGTGTTGCATGACCGCGCAATTGTCATTCAAAGTGTGATAGCACTGAAAACTGAAAATTGCCCTGGACAGGAAGCGGGTTAAAGTGTCCGGACAGGAAGTGGTTAAAAGAACAGACACTCACCTGGCCCTCGATCCAGCGGTGTGCTTACCACACCCCTTTTTGACTAGCCGTCTTCTCTCCCCTGCGGTGGTATCTTAAGTTACGGCACCCAGTTGTGAGAGCTTGCAGCTCCACAGCTGTGCGAGTAACGCTGCGCTTTGTGAATGGTCCCGTAGTCTTCTGGGACCTGTCACATGTCCAAGAAGACTACAGGGAGGGAGGACAACTTCTGCTTCCGATCGCCTAGACCAGGGGTAGGCAACCTGGGGCTCTCTAGCTGTTGTGGAACTACATTTCCTATGAGGCATTGCAATATTACAAAACTGACAGTTACAGCTATGACTTGCAGATGCATGATGGAACTTGTAGTCCTGTAACAGCTGGAGAGCCACAGGTTGCCTACCCCTGGCCTAGACAGTCTCAGCAGAAGTGAGAGCGGGTACCTGTCAAAATCGGGTCCCCCCTGCTGCCAATCCTTAACCAGGCTTTTGAGTGGAGCGCTACTTTAAGTGAGAAAGCCCCTCGTCCCCTCCTGAAGACTTCTGGATATATGACATAATTTGCCTAGGCCTGGAAATCAGAAAGTAACTAAAGAAATGTATAAACCGTTTACAAAAAGTAAACATGATATACTTTCCTATCTATTTACTAATGCTAGCAGCATAAGGATTCAAAATAGTCAATGTTGATTGAGAGAGTGAAGTTCCATTTTAATCACTAAAAGGAAAAAAGGAAATTTAGAAAAATGTTTTTCATAGTTTCTTTTATAAAACTTTGCAAATAAATATTCTTTCTTCATAAATGTGGGCCAAAATATATTCTGCCACATTTCTTTAGTGAAAAAAACAAATATATGTACTGTATAAGTATATTGAAAATTGATCAGTCCTGATGTACTGTCTATCTCCGTTCTTGAGGCCCCAAAATGCCAGGACAGTACAAATACCCCCAAATGACACTTTTTTGGAAAATAGAGAGTTCAAGATATTTAGTAAAAGGCATGGTGAGTTTTTGAAGTTGTAATTTGTAATTTTTTGTCACAGTTATTTTTTTAAATTAAAACATTTTATTTTTTTTTTACAAACTTGTCATTTTTTTCCATAAAAGTTTTATTAGAATTGTAAACCAAGATACAAGTGCAGGTTACAATCGCTGGTCAAGAGTCAAAGAAAATAAATGTTCATATGAATAACAGGCATAAAGAAATCACAGTGTAGAGATATAATGTATCAACCCAAAAACTGTGAGGCACTAACATCATCTAAGTCCAACAAAATGGTATATAGTAAACCAAACCATGAAATATATAAAAAGGCTCTTCAAAGAAATATAACCTACCACCAAAGTTAGAGTGATATCCATGTAGTGAACACTCACATCCATAGAGGTAAGGCCAACGGACCTTAAATAGGTTCACTGAAGGAGTATGTTTGGAGGGGGGTTCCTGTCAGGAATCGTATGTTTGCAGGGGGGGGGCAAGAAATGCTGCATGAGGTAATGGAAGAATCCCAGAGTGTCAGTAAAGACGCTACAGAACTCTCTGGCACAAAAAGGTAAACAGGATAGGCATAAACCTAGATGAGAAAAAGAGAAAAAAAGAAAAAAAAAAGGGGGAAGGGAGAGGAAGGGGGAGAACCGGTATGCCACATCCCCCTCCAACTCCCACAGCCCTCCCCAGTCCACTCCAGGATGGCAATCAACAAAGTAGGAATGGTCACTGTCCACAGTATCTATCAAATGCAATAATAGGAGCTATTGCATACTGTAAATATCCCACGGTGGGGACTGTCCATCATGGAGCTGATAAGATGTCTGAACATTCCACGTCCATCTGGATCCTGGCCAACAGATGTAGAATGTTGCACATACATTAACTTGCAGCATTTGTTCTGCTAAAAAAAAAGGTCAGCTTTTAGGCTGGTTAAATGTATCTTATCAGTTACATGAATATAATATGTTCATGCTGCTTCTGAGTAGCAATTAGCACTACCTACACTGCTCACTGATATAATAAACTCCAATGTATTCCACAATCTTTGGGATTTACAAAGCTCTATAATGCTCAATACTGCCTGCTTGAAGGCCGCAGTTTAGCACGTTGATTGATTTATTGACAGATGTGTCACTGCATGAAATAAATTATACTGGACATAGGATTAGACGGTTCACACAAATGGGATAGTAGCAACTTGTTGGGGATGGAATTATTTAATTAAAGAGAAGTATAAATGATCTGTACTGTTAATTTAATCCATTCCCCACTCTACATACAGTTTATATAAAAGCTGGCAACAGTCACATGTGTTAGTGAAGGAAATATTTTGGACCAGCTTGGTCCAAACTATTTAAACGTTAAATGAAACTTGGAGTTAGGCTTCAAAAATAAGAAACATACAGGATGTTCTGCAGAAGAAAAAGAGGACTAGAACTTGTCATTTATTTCAGTGCTATGTGTTTTATGCAGTAAATCACATAACTATGAATAATATAAGTTAATAAGTTAGTTGACTATGCTGTCCTACTAACAGCTGACAGCTAGCTAACAAAACTGACAGAGGCAGCGTTGTGTTTCATGCCAAAACTGAATTCACTTCTGTGAATAGTTCTATAAAACTGCAATACAATCACATAAACTGAAGTGAAATATGTTTGTACACATGTCTCTCACAAATATTTACAATGAATACATTTCTTGCAAACAGCTACCTACAAATCACATTGAAAACATTTAAATATGATCTAGCTATGTATGTGACTTCACTGATGTTCTTTTAGAAACTGAATGGCTGCAGTGGTTTATGGGAAATCGTTATTCTTAACAAACATGAAACACTTCCTGTTCTTTTTTGATAAGAATGCAATAATTACTTTTAGTTACTGTAACATTTAACTAGTTAACGCTTTATTCTTGAAAAGGACTGCTAAATCTGAGACAGGTCAGAGGTATACTTTAACAATCCCCTGATTGATGATTTTAACCTCTACTTTGTGAATTTATGGTAGTGTTTGATGAGAGTGGGGTGATTGGAATAACAAGAGTGTGTTTCTCATTCTTGGCCATGTCTGTATTGTGTAAATGAACTCCTACTCTGATTAGTCCATCTTTATCAATTATTGAATTCAAACATTTGATTTAGCTTTGATCGTTGATTTTTTTTCTTCCTTTAATAGAGACTTTATCTCTTCTAAAAACATCTTTTGTTGAACACATTTGATAATGACCATTTCTGTTTGCAAGAAATCTGATAGATGGCATATATACCTCCCAGCAGCCGCTGTCAGATGCAGCCTAAATGCTCGGACTCGTTTTTAGGGTGGAACATGTAACATGTTCCCAATGCTGCAGCTGCACCTGCTGCACCAGCCGCCCCCTCCTCCCTGTGACAGCAGTGCAGGGAGAAGTTTCCCGTACTAGCTGTTACTTTTTAAAAACAGGGTGGCGAGCAGTGCTTCGCCCACATGGCTGCGTCATTCATTCACAGGGTTCTGTGCAGGGCTGTATCTAGCCTGTCCAATGTGGGCATGCAGTAAAAAATATCAAGGAGGGCAAAGGATGGGAGGTCAGCAGGAGAGAGGACAGGGGTCACTGCTGGCACAGCAGAGGACAGGGGCACAGCTCCTTCTCCCATCACTGCACTGCACACAGCCTGGGCACAGGCAGCAGAGCTCCTCCTCTCCACCCAATGCATAACCAAGGTCAGTATAGTGTCAGTCAAAGACAGTATAGTTTCAGGCTAGGGCAGTAAAGTATCAGATTAGGGTGGTATTGTGTCAATTTAGAGCAGCATAGTGGCAGGTTAGGGCAGTATGGTGGCAGGCTTACCTGTTCCTCTATCCAGCTGCGCGCTGTCTTCCCGGCTTCTGTAGTGTCGGCACTCGGCATGACAGCCGGGTGCCCAGTGCGCATGAGCGAGAAGCACTTGCGCTTTGTGATTGGTCCGGCAGCTTCTGGGATCTGTCATGTGTCCCAGGTACCGCCTTACCATTCACAAAAAGCACCGCTTCTTGCGCATGCGCACTTGGCACCCGGCTGTCAAGCCCAGCGCCACTACAGAAGCCGGGAAGACAGCGCGCCGCTGGATAGAGGAACAGGTAAGGTCAAAGAACAACTCCATGGAAGTAAGAGCGGGTACCTGTCAAATTCAGGTACCCGCTCCCCACCTCCCCAAAGGTCAGCAGTCATCTCCATAAGGTCCCGCTGCAGAGCTGAGCGGCCGGCTCGGTATTCTGACACAGCGGCGGAGGAAATACCGGACCGGCCGATCCATATTCGCTCCATAAGACGCACTGACATTTTCCACCCTTTTTTGGGGGGAAAAAAGTGTGTCTTATGGAGCGAAAAATACGGTAAAAGGGACATGTTCAAAATGATAGCAGTGTGACGTTCTATTAGTGAGGTCATTCATTCTTTGAAAAACAGGTGGCAATTATTGCCCTTATTTAAGGAAGGAAGGCAGCAAATGTTGTACATGCTGGTTACAGTGCATTTCTCTCTGAAATTCTGAGGAAAATGGGTCGTTCGACACATTGTTCAGAAGAACAGTGTACCTTGATTGAAAAGTTGATTGGAGAGGGAAAAACATATAAAGAAGTGCAGAAAATGATAGGCTGCTCAGCTAAAATGATCGCAAATGCTTTAAAATGGCAACCAAAACCTGAAAGACGTGGAAGAAAGCGAAAAACTACCATTCAAATGGATAGAAGAATAGTCAAAATGGCAAGAACTCAGCCAACAATCAGCTCTAGGAAGATCAAAGAAGGTCTAAAGTTACCTGTGAGTACTGTTACAATTAGAAGACGCCTATGTGAAGCCAAGCTATCTGTAAGAACCCCCCGCAAAGTCCCACTGTTGAAAAAAAGACATGTGCTGAAGAGGTTACAATTTGCCAAAGAGCACATTGACTGGCCTAAAGAGAAATGGCGCAACATTTTGTGGACTGATGAAAGTAAGATTTTTCTTTTTGGGTCTAGTGGCCGGAGACAGTTTGTCAGACGACCCCCAAACACTGAATTCAAGCCACAGTACACTGTGAAGACAGTGAAGCATGGTTGCGCAAGCATCATGATATGGGGATGTTTTCTCATACTACGGTGTTGGGCCTATTTATCGCATACCAGGGATCATGGATCAGTTTGAATACATCAGAATACTTGAAGAGGTCATGCTGCCTTATGCTGAAGAGGAAATGCCCTTGAAATGGGTGTTCCAACAAGACAACGACCCCAAACACACCAGTAAACGTGCAACATCTTGGTTCCAGACCAACAAGATTGACGTTATGGAGTGGCCAGCCCAATCCCCGGATCTTAATCCAATAGAAAACTTGTGGGGTGACATAAAAAATGCAGTTTCTGAGGCAAAACCAAGAACTAGAGAAGAACTGTGGAATGTAGTCCAATCATCCTGGGCTGGAATACCTGTTCACAGGTGCCAGAAGTTGGTTGACTCCATGCAACACAGATGTACAGCAGTTCTCAGAAACAGTGCTTATACAACTAAATATTCATTAAGTGATTCAAAGGAAAGCAAAATCTTCAAACATTTTTCAGTTTATATAGTGAATGTTTGAGTTTGTAAAGAAGAATACAAACACTGCTATTTTTTTGAACAGTCTAATATTTACTTTTCTTCAGTTTTTTTTAGAGGAACAACACAAATTTGATATATTTTTCTTCATGTTTTGATTTGGAATAGAATGTGTAGTGTTCCCAATGCATTTGTGTGTATGGAAATAAAAGCTATTAGAAGGATTTTGAGCTTTATTCACTTTTTACAACACACTGCTATTATTTTGAACACAACTATATATGATGATGCTGTACTGCACTGGTGACAGTATGTAAAACATTTTTTTAAATTTCATTTTCCGAAAAATTGTGACAAAAAAAATTACAACTTCCAAAAATTCGCCATGCCTCTTATAAAATACGTTGGACTGTGTACTTTGCAAAAAGGGGTAATTTGGGGGATATTTGTACTGATCTGACATTTGTGGGCCTGAAGAAATTAGATTGGCTGTCAGTACTTCAGGATTGATCAATTTTCAGATATATTATTATTATTTTATTATACAGGATATTTCCCATAGTTTGTGAACGCTGTAACTTTCCTACAGACTAAATAATAAATACTGATTTGGGTTATTTTCACCAAAGAAATGTAGCAGAATACATCTTGGCCTAAATTTATGAAGAACAATTATTTATTTGAAAACTTTTATAACAGCAACAAAGAAACTTGTTATTTTTCCAAAATTTTCGATCTTTTTTTTTTTAATTTAGCAAAAAATAAAAACCCCAGTGGTGATTAAATATCAGAAAAAGAAAGCTCTAGTTGTGTGAACAAAATGATAACATTTTAGTTTGGGTACAGTGTTGCATGACTGCGCAATTGTCATTCAAAGTGTGACAGTGCGCTGAAAGCTGAAAATTGGGCTGGGCAGGAAAGGGTAAAAGGGCTCGGTATTGAAGTGGTTAAGGAGTGGCCAAAGATGGATCACTTTAGCACAGCTGGCTGGCCTGCCTGTACGCTCAAAAATATGGGAACAAAGAAACCCTCTAATGAGGGGTATGAGGGAGTATAGATGTGTGCTATAAACCCTTCTATTGTTACAGTTATTCTTTGAGTTTTTCATTTTAGCTCCCCTGTAGCTTACAATTTACATAGACACACTCGTGTTGTCAACCAGCTTTTCCCAAATCCAAGATGGCTAACTCAGCTTATTGCCAATACTAGACACGTTTCTGGACGAATGACGCCTAGAAGGCACGTAGGACGTAGGAGCCCCTGATGAGCGGGAGTGGAGAACCTGTACTTCCTTTTCTCGCTGCTTCACTGCATAGAAAGGTGAGGGTTTTCTTCTCCTGGGCCTGAATTCTGGAAATATCTCGTGTGTATCGAGCCCGCCGCCTCTAAGCTCCTTGCTCTCTTCTTGTCTCTCCATAGGAACATGCCGGCCAAGGGTCCTCTGCAGTCCGTCCAGGTTTTCGGGCGTAAGGTGAGTGCGGGGCCGCGTGTAGGCAGTGTAGGGTGAGCTCTCCGGTGTGATCACATGTCTCTCCAGCCCGTCCACTCCTCGTTCTCCGCTGTCTTGAGCTGCTGCGGCCGGGTGATTGGTCTAGTGCTGTCATCTCTCCGTGTATACTGACTGAGGTCCCCGCACTCTGCTAGATGTCCTATGGACGATCAGAAGTGACTGCATCCGGGGCTGACTCTGCTCTCCTACCCCATCCATACATCATATGGCACAATTCTCCCTGTATGATTACATCCACGTTCAGTCACACTACAATCAGCAGTTCTAGTTCTTACCTGCACCAGAGTTCTTGTCTGGAATCCAGTCCTAAGCCTTCCTGCACACAGCCTGTAAATGTAGGCCTACACCGCATCTGAGCACCACAAATCAAAACCGCTGTTTAACCACTTGCCTTCCTGAGGATTTACCCCCCCCCCCCCCCCCCCCCCCCCCCCCCCCCCCCCCCGACCAGGTCATTGTTTGCATTACGGTGCTGCGTTACTATAACTGACTATTGCGGCATCATGCAACGCTGCATCCAAATTAAATGTACGCCCTTTTTTCCCCCACGAATTGAGCTTTCTTTCAGTGGTGTTTGATCGCCTGTGTGCTTTTTTATTTTTTGCGCTATTTAAAAAAGTAAGTTTTGAGAAACAGTATTTTAGACTTTGCTATTAAACATGTCCATTAAAAAAAAAATCTAATTTTGTCATTTACACCAAAATGTATTCTGCTACATGCCTTTGCTAAAAGAAAAATCCCAATACATGTAAATTGGTGTACATGAAAGTTATAGCGTTTACAAATGGCGGTATTGATAGGTGTGTTTTTTGGGTTTTTTTTTTTCTCTAATGGCAGCAATCAGCAACTTATAGCGGGACTGAGGCGGGCATTCTGACACTGGGGGAAACTGACTTGGTGTCGCTGACATCCCCAGTGACACCAATACAGTGATCAGTGCTAAAAAAAGAGCACTGGCACTGTACTAATTGCAGTGGGCAGGAAGGGGTTAACATGAGGGGCGATCAAAGGGTTAACTGTGTGCTGGGAGTGTTTTACATAGGGGCGGTGTGTTGGTGCTTCACTGTAAGCAAACTGCTCTGGATGGCTGTGCTGTGCACAGCCATCCAGAGCAGTGTGCTCGAGCCGACAGGGAGGAGGACTGTTAGTAAACAAAGCAGTCCTCCTTCCTGTTGGGGATGCTTGGTAATCACCTGGTGCCAGCAGGTAATCACCAGCCAGGACTCTGTGATTGATGAGCGTGGCTCGCACACGCCCCCTGCACAGAAATACAAAATTACATATATCTGCTATAGGGTGGTCAGGATGCGGTTATCCACTTGCCAACTGCACTATAGCCGAATGACTGCTACAGCGTGGTTGTCCAGTTCTGGGAGGGCGTCATATGAAGTCCTCCCAGAACGTGCCCTTTCGCACGCACGTAGCGTTGTCCGTGATCGATACGGACACAGCTGATCACATGATGAAGTAAAAGGCCAATCACAGCTGCCTTTTACCACGTGATCAGCTGTGTCCAATGAGTAAATACAGTTGCTGGTTATTGGCTGCACTTTCCTCACACTGTCACAGTACTGCCGATAACCGGCAAATGACACAGAGGACACCTACACTGATCAGGGAACTGATGATTAGTGGCTAGCAGTGCCGCCAGTCAGTGTCGCCCATCATTGCTGCATATCAGTGTAGCCTCATCAATGCCCATCTGTGAAGGAGAAAATGTACCTGTTTGCAAATGTTTATAATAGAAACAAAGAGAAACTTTTTTTTTTTCTTCAAATTTTTTGCTTTTTTTTGTTTATAGCGCAAAAAATATAAGACACCCAGTGGTGAATAAATACCACCATAAGAAATCTCTATTTGTGTGAAAAAAAATTATAAAAATTTCATATGGGTATGCTTCATGACCATGCAATTGCATTCAAAGTACAACAGTGCTGAAAATTGGCCTGGGCACAAAGGGGGTGAAAGTGCTCAGGTGGGTGAGTGTGCTTCGCTGAGAAAACCCCTCTTGGAGACTCCTGGGATGTATGAAATCATTTGCCTAGGCATGGAAACTTGGAAGTAACTGAAGAAATGTATGAACAAAATTAAAAATAGTAAATATAATATACCTATCTATTAATGCTAATAGCATAAAGATTTAAAATAGTCAATGTTGACCGAAAGAATGAAGTTCCATGTTAAGGCCCTGGTCCACAGTAGTGTGGGGTATGGCTGCCCATTTCATTCGAATGGGCTGCTGTGCCTGCAGTTAACGCAAGAAAAAAAAGGTCCATGCACGTTTTTCAAAAACTCATCTGCAGGGCAGCAGCATGGTCTTTGTTGACCATGCTGTTTCTATGCAGTTCCCACAACCGTGATCAGGCTGAGATGCGTGTAGGTGCCTTTCAGAATGAATGGCAGCCCTGTGCGATTCTGCTGGTGCAGACACAGATGTGATTCCCTCAACCAGCCTGCACTGCGACTAGGTTGCGGGCTAGTGTGAACCAACTTTTACACCCTGGTCACGACTTTGAAATCGTGCGACTTAACGTGAAGTCACAGGATTTCAAAGTTGGATGACATGCCGATTTGAGGTGTGATTTGTAAGAAATCTGACACAGATGTCTATGCAAATCACATTAAAATTAGTAAATAGAGAAACAGGAAAAGGGCGCAATGACCTAGTGCATTATCGTTTAAAATATTTATTGAAGAAAAAGTAAGTATCAGACTCACAATAGACATTAAAAACACAGGCATGTCAAACTGAACAAGATGTATGATCCAAACAACATCATTCAGTTGGTCATCCAGGGTTCCATCGTATGGACTCAGATGTTGTTTTGTATTTGTTTCTGAGCATATGTGGTCTTGCTCTTCAGTTTTGTTCTGTTTTTTTGGCCGAACACTGTTCTGATTAAATGAAAATCGTACGTTCTGGTATTGTACAGGAAACATTTTTGTCTTTATCCCTTCAGATTATTTTGCATGAACTGCCGTGGTCGGCTCTCGAAAGCTTTGTACTAATGATCAGACTATTGGACGATCGCTTCAAAAGTGGTATTTTTAGTTCATTTTTCTGGTCATTTGTACGGGCGAATAAGTGTACTTTCTGACAAGTTCCTGTCTGGTCCACCTGTCAGTTTTACAGACAGATGTTTGAAAGTTCAGTAGAGGAAGAAGCTTAACTGCTTTCCTGCTGCCCTATAGCAGATATACTGCTACTGGTGGCAGGTGTGCACGAAATTACGTATATATACGTGATTTCGCATTTCCGGGTAGGGGGCGCGCGCCCTATACGTGCCACTATTTGCGGCCTCGGCTGTTCCGGCCGGGACCGGTGATCGAGCAGGATTACCGACGGAGAGAACTGTAATTAAACAGTCCTCTCCCCTGTTAGCTTCTGCACACTGCTATTTGTGACTTTGCATAGCAGAGCCACACATAGCAGTGTGCTTACAGTGAAGCACACTGTAAAACAGCACAGTTAACAGTTAACCCTTCCTGCCCAGTGCCATTAGTATCATGTCAGTGCTTTTTATTAGCACTGATCACTGTACTGGTGTCACTGGGGATGTCAGTGACCCCAAGTCAGTTCCCCCCAGTGTCAAAATGCCTGCTGCTGTCTGGCTATAAGTCGCTGATCGTTGCCATTACTAGTAAAAAATAAAAAAATCCCAGTATATATACCACCATTTGTAAACGCTATAATTTTCATGTAAACCAATTAATTTACGCATATTGGGATTTTTTTTTTTTTTTTTTTTTTTAGCAAAAAGCATTTTGACCTAAATTTTGATTTAAAAAAAAAAAAAAGAAAAAAACTGGGCATGTTAACCACTTGCCTACCGGCACTTATACCCCTTTCCTGCCCAGGCCAATTTTCAGCCTTCAGCGCTGTTGTACTTTGAATGACAATTGCGCTGTCATGCAACATTGTATCCATATGACATTTTTATAATTTTTTTTCACGCAAATAGAGCTTTCTTTTGGTGGTATTTAATCGCCACTGGGTGTTTTTTATTTTTTGTGCTATAAACAAAAAAATTTGAAAAAAAGTTTTCCTTTTGTTTCAAACGGGTACTTTTTCTCCTTTACTGATGTGCATTGATGAGGCGGCACTGGGCACTGCAGGGCAGCACAGACTAGCGGCACTGCAGGGCAGCACGTGGGTGGCACTGGTAAGCACTGATCATCAGGGCTGATCTGTTTTCTGACAATTCCCGATTAACGGCAGTACTGTCCTCATACTGTGACAGCGTGAGGAAAGTGCAGCCGATAACTGGCAACTGTATTTACCTGGTGATCTGCTGTGTCATTGGACACAGCTGATCATGTGGTAAAAGGCTGCTGTTATTGGCCTTTTACTACATCACATGATCAGCCGTAGGACTTGGCGATCACGTCATTACTCCCTCACAGAACTGGAGAGCCCCATCGTAGCTGTCATTCTGCTATAGCACGGTTGCCAAGTGGTTAATAGCAAAAAGTCAAAAATATTGTTTTCTGAAAATTGTCTTTTTTTTTTTTTAATAACGTAAAACATAAAAATCACACAGATTATTAAATACCACCAAAAGAAAGCTCTATTCGTGGGAAAAAAAAGGACGTAAATTTAACTTGGGTGTAGCGTTGTATGACCGCGCAATTGTCAGTTAAACTAACGCAGCTCTCTTCAATAAGAGCTCAAATTGCAGTTAAAATGTCATTGTTTTTGGCTACATGCACACTTTTTACACATTCATGTTGTGTTGCTATTCTTTCTTCATAAATATTTTAAACTGGTATGTTTGGTTTGTCCTATTTATTTCACATAGAGGTGTTTTGTTTTTCCCACAGAAAACTGCAACTGCTGTTGCCCACTGCAAAAGAGGCAATGGGCTCATCAAAGTTAATGGGAGACCATTGGAGATGATTGAACCTGGGACACTGCAGTACAAGGTAGGTTCTGTTAAAATTATTTATTGCTAACTTCAAATTCTCATCACACTAGTGATTATGTAATTAACAGTGGGTGACAATGGGTCTGTAATAATCTGAATCCCCATTCCTAAATGTTTGTAATGGTGGGGCTTATTCCCAGGAATTATGGTAATTTTTATTTATTTTTTTTATCATGTTCATGCTTGGCAGAGTTAATTAAGGCCCATTTCACACTGGCAGACTGATTGGGTCCACTTGTCTGTTGTTCAGACAGACCCAATTGGATCATCCATTGCCCTCTAAGGAGCAGTGGATGTAAACGTTAGTTTACACCGGCCTGCCTCCAGTCCGCTAAAAACAGATGGGAATCCATCCTATCGGATTGGATGGCAGTCATATGACTGTCCTTAGAGGGAAGAAGGCTGTGTCCACTCTACATGAGCAGACATGGACCTGTCCTCCTCCTACTCAGCAGTTATTGGGGACTGATCCCCCGCTGAACAGGCAGATCCTCTGGCAGAGTCTGCCCTTGTGAAGTGGGCTTGTTCACACCATGTCCAGTGATCTGCATTTTTCTGCACTGAAAAACTCAGGTCGCTGCAAGGACACCTATAAACCAATGTGTGGTGGTTTTTTTTTTTTCTCTTTCTTTGTGTCTCGTTCACAACACAAGCCATGCACATAAAAATGCATGCAATAGCATGTTACTGCGCATGCTTTTTCAGTGCATTTGTATATGCAGTATGGTGTGACAGGACTGGCATCCTATATACTGCCTGACTTATTACTGAAAACACATTCAAAGGTCTCCTATAACAAAGATGAACTCCTCCAGTCACCTGCTGTTACAGAATGCAATCGAATGGCGAATTTGATGAGGTTATACACTTTCTGCACAAAAACTGATATTTAGTTTCTAACGAATGCCTATTTGTGACTGGTTCTTTTTAACCACTTCCAGTCCGGACACTTTTACCCCCTTCCTGACCAGGGCAATTTTCAGCTTTCAGCGCTATCACACTTTGAATGACAATTGCGCGGTCATGCAACACTGTACCCAAATTAATTTTTTACCATTTTTTTGCGACAGAGAAAGCTTTATTTTGGTGGTATTTATTCACTGCTGGGATTTTTATTTTTTTTTGCTATGTAAATGAAAAAGTCCAAAAATTTTGAACAAAAGTGTTTTTTTTTTTTTTATAAAATTTTGCAAATAAATAATATTTCATCATAAATCTTTGCCAAAATGTATTTCATTATCTTTTTAGTAAAAAAAAACAAAAAAAATTAGTTTATAACCAAAAATTATAATTTTTAAACATTTTGTTTTACATTTTTATTTATTTTTTTATATTATTATTTTTTTTTTTTATTTTTTTTACATACTGTCACCCTAGCAGTACAGTGTCACCATGGTGACACTGTACTACTTGTGGAGGGTGATGAAGATTTTTTTTTTTTTTTTTTTTTTTCAATGATTGCTTTTACACCCATATAGGATGTAAAAGCAATCATTTTCTCTTTCTCTCTGTGTGCATTCCTGCACTCATTGAGAAATACAGAGTGAGCTGTGATTGGTCAGAGCTTGTCACATGGTACAAGGCTGTTGTGAATAGCCTTGTACCATGTGACCTCTGTGTGATCATTCACAGATTTCACACGTAGTAAGCAATGATGTCACAAGTGACATCTTGCTTACTACTTTGCATGTGATCACTGATTGGCCAATCAGTGATCACATGATCGGGACCTCGTACAGAGGTCCCGTCCGACGATCGGTGTTTCACTGTGTCCGGAGGACACAGCGGGCACCGGATCGTGGTGCTGCGCGCTCCCAGGGAGCGCGCACAAGCAGGGTGCGGGGAGGCCGTTCATAAACGGCCACCCGACCCTGTACTGCCACCGTCCGGCCGTTTATATGCAACGGCAGATACGCCGGTCGGGAAGTGGTTAAATAAAATTTTGGACTTATTCAGGTATGATTTCTCTATATTTGGAGGGGGGGAATTTGGTAGATTGTGTACATTGGGGTTTATTGGATTTAAGCAGCCACATGTAAAGTTCAGTACAAACGTCAGCTATTTAGAATCTAAGTGAATTATGGTGCTATGGGCTACTGCACTTTATCATTCCTTGTTTGCTCCTTGTGATTTTTTTTTTTTTTTAAAGAAAACAGATTCTAAGAATGTTTATCTTCATTTTATTACAGAATTTATAATTTTTGTTCATTTTTGTCACCCGATTAGAAATATCTTGTAGCTACTTCTCTAATGTAAAAGTTGAAGTCTTGTTTCTTCACATGGGTGGCAGTCCTTGCCGCCTCTCTGAAAAGTAATCTTCAGTGGATTGCTTTTTAAAGGGCAGCTAGCAGTTGATGTATTTCCTCCCCATCGCATGTTTTAACCGCACAAATGCCCATGTGCTTTGCACACTGTTTTCATGTGGCACCTCTGTGGCGCAAACACTTACTTTTACTGCTGCTGGTGTGAATGACCCCTAAGGGCTATGTTAACTTGGCAATCTCTAGTTGATGGCAGATAACCAGTTTTAGGATTGCTAAGGGAGCCTTGAAGGTACGTGCCTGCTTCTTTGGCATCTCTCAATTGCTGCTTCCACACAGAAGAGCAAGAATCTGCAGCAGTTTAGCTTGCATGCTCTGTACACTGGGGGAGATGGAGAATGCTCTCTAGTGATCTGAACTGTTAATGGCAAGTTGCTTCCAGCGATAGAATCATATACATGACTGGCTTTAATACTTTTGTATTCCCTATCTGCACATCTTGTTTCCAGGTCAGCAACTTGATGTTAGAAATTCTTATCTACTTGCCCTTTTTTGGTTCATTGTCCAAAAGTGTTAAAGGGTAGCTTACTTTTGGAACATGTTACACCTGTATTTGGGGTGTATCCTGTTCCGCTTGTGTCCCGCTCACCCCTTCCCCTGTGACAGCAGGTGGGGGGATCCTCTTCCTGCTCTTGCCATCACTTTTTAAAATTTGCGCGGCTGTACAGACTTCTGTTTATACAGTCACATAATTTAAAAGAAAGACGGGCACGGCTTGTAGTTCTCAGTGAGCTACAGGTGTGCAGATGAGCACTGACATGTTCTTCAGCTTTCAAACAGAGCTGTGCAGAGGCATGGGCAAGAAAGCTGGAGTGTCTGCAGGACACTTAATTAAAGCTAGGAGAACAGCATTAGAACGGACTAGCTTTACCAGGAGAAGTAAACGGTGGCATTTAAAGCGGAGTTCCACCCAAAAGTGAAAGTCTACCTTTTTGCCTCATTTGGCACCTTTTTAAAGGGGCAGGGGGAGCAGGTACCTGGTTTTGACAGGTACCCGCTCTCACTTCCAGCTGAGCTCACCACCTCCCGCAGCAGGAAACCGGTGAAGCCGCAAGCCTCAAGATGGCGGTGCAAGCAGCCGATTGCTACTATTAAGTCGGCAGCCAAAGTATTTTTTTTTTGGGGGGGGGGGGGGGGGGTCGCGGGGGCTGGAAATATGCTTTAATATAGGGTCGGGTTTAGAGAAATTATATCGACTAGACTAAAATCTAATTGTTGTTTTTTTTTTAAATTTTTTTTATTATTATTATAAATATGGTAACGCCGTTTATGTGTGGGGTTTTGTTTTTTGTTTTGTTTTTTTTTTTTTTCGATTCTAGCCATGGGGGTGATGTCATCAATTATGACAACCTGTAAAGTTTTGCTGTATAAATTAATTTACTTTATCTGTGCAGCTGCTGGAGCCTGTTCTTCTTTTGGGAAAGGAGCGATTTGCTGGTGTTGACATCAGAGTGCGTGTGAAAGGTGGTGGACATGTCGCCCAAGTTTATGGTAAGAATGCTTCAATTTGCCCATATAAATGTCCATGAGGTGCATAGTCTGCCGTTAATGAACGCATTTGAGTTGATACAAATGTAAAATACGTTAAATGATTAAAGGAGTTCTGTAGTCCCAGCATATGATTTCATTACATAACATCTGCATTAGAATTGCAATACAGTTGTATTTGAGAATCCAGAATTAGATTACTTGTAAAATCATTCCATTAATGCTGCCTGTTTGCCAGCTATCCCTTTCCACAACTTGCACCATTCCCTGCATGCTTTGCAGCCTCTTCTCTGCTGTAGAAGGCAAGTTCTGTAAAATGTATGGCACAGCAGTGCCTACTCACAGGGCATAATGAATGTCACCGAATTCATGGAAATAAATGTGTGGGGATCTTCACAAAAAGTTTACAAATTTCAAGATGGTTCAGATTAATAAACTGGAAATGCCATACAATGTGGAAACATGAGTTTTTGACCATACATACAATTTTTAAGTTTAATGTAGAGCTTTTAGGCATCCATATTCATGAAAGCAGATATAGAATGTTCTTTCAGTAATGCCTTCTGTAACTTTTTTTTTTTTTTTTTCCATTTACAGCAATTCGCCAGGCTATTTCTAAATCATTGGTGGCTTATTATCAAAAATGTAAGTTTCCAATTTGTGTTGATCATCTTTCAATGTCAGTAAATCTATTGAAAATGAGTTGAGCTATAGCATGTTGACTAATTTCTTTAGTCTATTCAGGGCTAAACTACATTTATTATGGAAAATAAAAAGTAAACTTGTTTTGCAAGATTTTTAAATGTGTAACCAGTCTTGCTATTGCAGACAGCACAGCCAAGCACCCATTTATTGTTCTGCTGAAACATTCATGACAAGGGGAGATAGAAAACAGAACTGCATCTCCTCTAGCAGTTATAACCCTATAGGTGTATTTAAGTGGTTTGTTTGCCAGGTGATCAGGTTTAATCATTACTATTTTTTACATTCTAAAGTTTGATGGATGATTGACTCTATCAGCATCATGTTGCCACTTACCTTTGTTTTCCATAGGAGCTGGTGTTTTAGATCTCATTTGCAGTTTTTGTTATCGCATTTCTTTTTTCCATTTTAGTATAGTTGTCAAAGCAGCATTTACATTTGAAGAAATGGTTATCTTAGGTGGAATGTATAGGAAGATAAACACGTCCAGTCCTTAAACCCTTAAAGCTTTGGTTAGAGCAGCAAGGGATTAAGAGCCTTTGTGGTTTTTTTTTTTTTTTTTTTTTTTTTTCTTCTTTCTTTGTTTGCCCACACTTTTAATAATGGATGTGTTAAAACTTCTGATAAAAATGATGCCCACTCCCCAACATTTCCTTTTTTTATGTTTTTATTTTTTTTTTGTATGGGTGTTACTATGACAGGAAGTTCTTTAAAGTGGAGTCACAGGTTGAAATAAAAACTAGACAAATTTTAACACTTCCACTCATTATAAAACAATAATGCCTTTAGAGCAGGGGTAGGCAACCTGCGGCTCTCCAGCTGTTGCAGGACTACAACTTCCATCATGCCTCTGCAAGTCATAGCTGTAACTGTCAATTTGCAATGTTTATGGGAAATGTAGTTCCACAACAGCTAGAGAGCCGCAGGTTGCCTACCACTGCTTTAGAGTATATGTAAACCCTTACCTTGTAAAAACAGCCCATACTGTTTAAAATGGAAATGAAAGGCAAAACGTGTGCATGTTTTTTAAAAAAAAAAAAAAAAAAAAAAAAAGGGTATTTATAATGTATTTTATAAGTGATGCCATTTCCTCTGTTCTCAGCTGCATAGAGAGGTTACCACTAAAAAAAATTGTCTTGAAGGAATGTCAGAATAATATACAAACCATTAGGTTATTACTGCCACCGTAAACTATACAATCATAAAGCTGTGGCCTAAAATCTATACAATTCCAGGTAAGGTAGCACTATAGCATCACTCTTTAACCGGATAATTTATAATAAATATATTCTCACCCAGTGTCCACATGTGACTGATGCTGAAACTTAAATGTCCAATCCTAAAGAGAATTCTTCATGCTTTAAATTCTTCACCTTTCACCACACAACTGCATGAATCCCACTTCCCGCAGGCTCCACACTTGCCAAACTGTTGCCTTTCATTCACATCATTGACAAGTGTTGCATAGCATCACCCACTCCTCCTCTCTCAATAGAATCGCTCAGCAGCAGGGAAAAGAAAGAGGTCCTAATAGTGTAAATTGCTACACCACCTTTATTCATGGAGTCCCCATTAAAATTCTACTCACAAGCAACAAAATTTGACAGCCATAAAAGCCGCTAGTGTGGGTACAGACAGACCTGTACAAATCGATTGTGCCATAGTTTCACCCGGGCTGCTCCACTGTCTTTTCCAGTTCGGTGTATGATGTGCCTTTTTAACATTTTTATGTTTTTATGTACATTATCTGGTGTTGTAAGAATGAAGTTATAGTCTTCTCCTATCTGTTTTATGGAATTATTTAGATTTTTGTGCACAGTTTTATGATTTTATGCATAGAGAGCTGGGGATGGAGAGAGAGAGAGAGAGAGCAGCATTCAGGTCTTCCCAGTGAATGGCTGTGCAGGTGGAAGTGTCAGTGACCAGGCTGTGCTCTCATGCATTGTGTGGTCAGTTTTTAATAGGAAAACAGAGGGACTGACAGGAATACCAGGGATTTCACCTAAAGGAAGGAAGCAATACTAAGAACAGATGCTTTTTCATACAAGTACATGGTACAGCAGACCCATATCAAGAATATGAAATGTTGGGTTTACATATTCATTAATATGCAAACGTATTGCTAATGTTAATTGTAAATTTGTTCATTTTATTGCAGATGTTGATGAAGCCTCCAAGAAGGAAATTAAAGATATTCTTATCCAGTATGACAGGACCCTTCTAGTTGCAGATCCTCGTCGTTGCGAGTCCAAGAAGTTTGGTGGACCTGGAGCCCGTGCTCGCTACCAGAAGTCTTACCGTTAAATTTATCATGTATATTCTTCTGCAATAAAGTATGAAAAATTAAATTTTGTGAATTGAGCGTCTTGCTTTCACATCTTTATTTTTTTTTTCTTGAGTACAGATATGTCCAGGATTTATGGTTCGCTAGAGCTATGGAAATAAATGCATTTTAGAATGGACTTGTTGCTTTAGTTTCTTGTACTGTTCCTAACCACTCCCTTCTGTACACACAATAGCTGTGTTTTGGTTTCTAATGCAGACATAATTTGAACTTTTACAGTAAATTTACATTATCACATATACCGTAGTGTCGGTGAATATAGGGTTAACGTGGTTGTGAACATCAGACATGAAATATGAAAAAAGCATATCCCTCCTATAGTATGTACTTGTCATTTAAGAGCATGAAGTATCATTTCTGTCTGCTGCTTCATTCCTCTGCCTGAGTCACTTATGACAAATTTTCCTGACACCAAGAGAAAAATGGTGGCAGGGGAGGGACCTCCAGCAGATTTACAGCCTGTGGATGCTGTGTGGGGGGGGTGTGTCTGGTCCCTCCAATCAGCTCCCAGAGCTCTCTGATGTAACGTCGGGTCTCTGCCCCCTGCTCTTCAGAGCTGAGATCTTGTGTAAAATCTGCACTTTGAATGGACATATAAGGGTCAGACAGCTGTAGATAACCAGGTAAAACTTATAAGGATTTGTTTGATCTGCATATCACCTTAGGCCAGTTACTGAGTATATGTAAGGGTTTACAACCACTTTAAAGGTGTCACCATTTTCTGCAAACCTTTAAATTTTGTCTCGATTAGAGTGGATGGTCATATGACTAATGCCTCTACATTGGTCACTCACCCTCTTCTATAAGGACTTGGGTAACAAAGTAAACTTAAGAGAAATATGTAGAATACAATTTCTGACCTGCATGTGCAAATGCCAGTTGTCTCTGGCTTCAATATTGTATTCACTTATGCATAACAAATATAGCTAGTAGTGCTGATCGGTGTGTACTTGTTCCTGGTCATTGCCTCAAAAGTATTAGAGCTAAAGCACATTTGAGCAACTAATTACTCAACATCCACCTACACTGACAGGTGCAAACATCCTCACTTTTCTCAGGTCTACAACATTTGGTCCCTAAAAATCATGAAGGATTGATATAAATATTTGTAACTAGACATTGGGGTTGAATTCCTAAAACTGGAGAGTGCAAAATCTGGTTGCATAGAAACCAATCAGCTTCCAGGTGTTTGTGTTTTTTTTTTTTTTTTTTTTTGTCACAGCTTAATTCAACAAGCTGAAATTTAGAGGCCGATTGGCTACCATGGACAGCTGTATCAGATTTTTCACTCTCCGGTTTTAGTAAATCAACCCTAATATGTACTGTATTCCAAGAACACGTAGTCATATATGTTCTTAGATATTTGCCGTTTCATAAGTCTAGCCACCTAGTGGCTCTAGTAAAGATCCAAATGTAGCACCCGGCCTCCCTCCCATGGGTACAATCTAATTTCTATATACACAACCATTCCTGTTCTTCACACAGCAATGTTCATTTTGGATTTTTATTTTGAGATACAAAGTGTAACCCAGCTTTATGTTTAGATACAAAAGTAACTATAGTAAAAGCAGCGGTAGCTCTAGAAGACACCCCTCTTGTTCTTCACACACATTTTTATGTTCCGATACCAAAGTAACCACTGGCTTTATGTTTAGATGTAAACTTTTTTTTTTTCTGTCCTTGGGATGTGAGCCCTAACATTTGTGCAAACAAGTTTTCAGAAGAGTCTCACTGGAAATGTGCATTTTAATGTTTGCAAAAGAGTGAAGATGCTAGGCTTCCCATTAACAAACATCAGCAATAGCACCTTTTATTTATATATAGATTGTACACTCCTTGAGGGTTAGGGACTGATGTGAATGTACAATATATATGTAAAGCGCTGCATAAATTGACGTTGCTATAGAAAAACATGAATATATATATATATATATATAAATATAATTTTTTATTTTTCCCCTACCGTCTTTCAGGCCAGCACTCTGAGAGACCTCGGCTCCTCCCCATCTGAGGAAACACCTCCACCTACAATAAAAAAGCTCCACTCCCCTCTGACCTCAGTTCTCAGGTGTTTCCTCCGGTGGGGAGACACGAGGAGGCGCAGGAAGACGATAGGGGAGCCGAGGGCCGGATAGCCGGCTGTGAGGCCCGACGCAGCCGGAGTGAAGGCCGGAGTGTCCGGCTGCATATCCTCCCAGGGCAGGCTGCCAGCAGTGAGAGTGCATCCCGGGGGACGGGACAGGGCACTTACCTGCTCTTCACCCCCCGACCCCCTCCGGCGAGGGGGGGCGTCGGGGTGGCGTGGTGAGGTCTGGGGAGGATCGGGGGGAGTTCCGCTCCTTCCTTCCCATGCTGGCGGTCTGAGGGCTTTGCCGGGCCGGACGTCGGGAGACGGCGGTTTCCGGCGGAAGGGGCGGGGCTTCGCCCAGGGCTTTCCGCTTCCGGTCGCAGCCTTCACACACCACGGCGGCGCGAAATTCAAAAATGGCGGTGCGGTGCACAGCGGTCTGGGGGACAGACCTGCACCAGGCGACCACCCTCCGGTACAGGATGTCGGAGGCACCGGGACCAGGAGATGCCAGCACCAGCCAGTCACAGGTAAGGTGCCTCAGTGGAGGCCTCCCCTACCTGTGGGCCCCTAGCAGTGGGAAGGTAGGGCAAGGGGTCTGCGGTTTTTCAGGCCCTTGTTTGCTCTGCCGGGAAGCAGGGGGGGGGGTGTTTAGTGTCGGACTGATTGGGCTTCCCTCCTCCCCCCTTTTTCTTTTGTGTCTTTCAGGGCAAGGCCCGAGCTAAACTTAGGCACCAGGAGCCCAAGCGGAGATGCCCTTCCTGTAAGGAAGTTTTAAAAGAATCTTGGCGAAAGGTTCTTTGTGGCCCATGTATACAGGGGTTGGTGAGGGAGGAGAAGCCGGAACAGGGGGACCTAGCCAGGTCAGTGAAGGAGTTGGCTACCACCTTCGACTCCTTCAAGTCCCTCATGGAGAGGTTTGCCCTCCCATTACCTACACTTCCCCCCCCCCCCCCCCCAGGTGGCTTCGGTGAGTCGTCGGGAACCCCTTATGACCGGGGAGGAACCAGTGGGGGACTCCCAGTCTGAGGAGGAATCAGCGGGTGAGGGTCCCTCGGAGGAAGGGAGGGGCCCCTCCCGGTATAAGTTGACCCTAGAGGAGGTTGATGAGCTCCTGGGGGCTATATACGAAACCCTGGACATTAAGGAGGAGGTTAAGGCCTTATCTCTCCACGACCAAATGTATCAGGGATTGGAGGAGCACCAGCACAGAATGTTTCCTGTGCATGACATTTTGGTAGACACGATTAAGAAGGAGTGGCAAGACCCGGAAAGGAAACCGTTCTTCTCAAAAGCATTGAGAAGGAGAAGACCCGGAGGCGGTCTGGAACAAGAGCCCCAGGCTAGACGCGGCCTTTTCCCAAACGACCAGGAGAACTGACCTAGCGTTTGAGGACATGGGGGTCTTACCAGACTTATTGGACAAAAGGGCGGAGTCTCTCCTTAGGAAGGCCTGGGACTCGACCCTGTACAACCTGAAGCCGGCCATGGCTACGACAGTGGTAGCCAGGAACTTAGAGTATTGGCTTACGCAATTACAGGCCCATATTGTGGCAGACTCTCCCAAGGAAAAAATCTTGGCCTCTTTTGAGACCCTTTTGCAAGGAGTGGGGTATATTGCGGATGCTTCCGCAGAGTCGGTGAGATTGGGGGCCAGGTCTGCTGCCCTGACCAATTCAGCCAGAAGGGCGCTGTGGCTAAAGACATGGCAGGGGGACATCACTTCAAAAGTTAGGTTATGCGGCATCCCCCTCACAGGAGACTGTCTGTTCGGCCCGGGGTTGGAGGAATTATTGGACCGGACAGCTGATAGGAAAAAGTCCTTCCCCCTCAAGAGGAAAATGCAGGAGGGGGGGACACGGAAGGCCCGCCCGGCAAAGAGGCTGAGCCTGCGACCGCCTGGTCAGGGTAGGTCGGCTGGACAGAGAGGTAGGGGAAGAGGGGGAGCAATTTTTCGCCCTCCTCCTGAGCAGCCCCAAAAACCAAGGTGACTTGGTTCCTCCTGTGGGGGGAAGATTGGCTGCATTCCTCCCACAGTGGGAAGCCGGGTCCCAGCCCCTTCATTTTGGATGTCATCCGAAGGGGTTACCGGTTAGAATTTCTGAGACCGCCACCCGAGACTTTTCTGGTGACGACCCGTCCAAGGGATCCGACGAAGGACGCGGCTCTGGTGGGCGCTTTGGAGATTCTAGAGTCCCAGGGGGTCATCTCCAGGGTTCCAGTAGCGGAGCGAGGGAAGGGAGTTTATTCCCATGTGTTTGTGGTTCAAAAGCCGTCTGGGGCGTTCAGACTGATTTTGAACCTGAAACCCTTGAACAAGTCAGTGCGTTACCGGAGGTTCCGCATGGACTCCATTTTTACAATCAGGTCCCTAATCCCACCAGGTGCATTCATGGCATCCATAGACTTGAAGGACGCCTACCTACACGTGCCCGTGGCGGAAGCCTCTCAGAGGTTCCTCAGGTTGGCAGTGGGGGGGGAGGAAGGAATTCGACACTGGCAGTTCAGGGCTCTTCCATTCGGCCTTTCCTCCTCGCCAAGAGTATTCACCAAGGTTCTGTCGGAGGCACTGATTTCTATCCCACTTAAGGGGGATTTCAGTGGTGGCCTATCTGGACGATTTGCTGCTCTTCGCGGATTCAGAGGCTCACTTACGGCAAGACCTGGTTATAGTGAGGAACCATCTGGAAAGCTTGGGGTGGATTTTGAATCTGGAGAAGTCCTGCCTGGTGCCTTCTCAGAAGGTGATTTACTTGGGCTACACTCTAGACTCGGTAGACCAAAAGACCAGCCTGACTTTGGAAAAAGTCACCAAGTTGGAGGCCGGAGTCAGATTACTGCAGGGGAGCAGGTCGATGTCCATAAGACAGGCCATGTCGGTACTTGGATTGC